TGCCTTAAATACTGGCGAATTCCGAAATCCACTCTTATCACTTCAAAGTGTTTAGTTTTTTATTTGCCATTTTGATTCCAAACATCCGTCCAGTTCTCGTTTCCCCAGCTATCAATACAGGCAAATAAACAAACCTTCATTCTTATGAAAAAAGCAGTGCAGTTAAGAAGGATTTGTGCACAAGAGCATGATTAAGATGGAGGAACAGGAATCTCGTCTCATAGGGAGGACCAGCAGCGATAAGAAGCCACTTCCTGAATATCAAGCTTTTTTTGCAGCTAAACAGAAGAAAAAACTAAGCAGAGAGATTTGAGAAGAAGAAATTCAAGATTTTTATAAGAAGAAGCAATGTGAAGATGTAAATGTTAACTTTAAAAGAAACATTTCATAAATAATGCAATAAAGACCACTCACTACTCTTTTTTTCAACCTCTGCCATAATTCTTTTATCTGGGATTTTTCTACAATACCGTCAAAGGTAATCAATGATATGCTGTTTGAATTTTTGATGCGCATCTAGAGGCATAAGAGCGAGTAAGATCCTAACGTACCTTTCTCAACAAAGACCTGCTCCTCCTCGTATGTTTGACACTTTTATGGGGGACCTCGTCTCAAATGTTCCACCGGTAGCGCCACAAGTAGCTCACCATCGCCTAAGGAAGCTGTTCGTGTGAACAAGATGTCTTGTGCGTGCGCAGAGGGGTGTAAGCAAATTTTTACGCTGGATATTTCCCCTTTCAAAAAGTTTTCAACGTGCTAAGTACGATTTCGAACCTTAGTAGGCATGAAATTGTCAAGAAGTTGAGATTTTTGAGCATTTTCGAAGGGAGGAGATCAAGCTGCGACTTCAAAAGGTTTGCTACTTCAGTATATTCTGAGAGGATTATCTAACTTCTGCTATCAAAAGAGGACTTTAGAGGCCAGACATGTACAGCTTAGCGAACAATCATTGGCTACGGGGGCTCGAGGAGAGAAACTTGGCGTGGATGATTTCTTCCTCCATCTTTTTTTGAAACTGCCAGTCAGACTTTAAGTTAGCTTAGCTAGAAGTCGACTACAATAATCTTTGTGAATCATTTTTTGTTTAGGCACTGCCTTTGAACCGTAAATTAGTTTCTTAAATCATAGAGGAACAGATACGGATACGGATCATTTGCTCAATCCTTATTAGGCATTCTAAAACAAAATCACTTATTTAGTCATTACATTCTAGGCTGTTAATGGAATGAATCCAGTTATGATGTTCCAAATAGCTCGGAAT